CTGCTACCTGGCTTATTATTACGGAAATGCGTTGCCCCGTCTAAGTAGACCGCGCTCCAGAAATAGAAATAGAATTTTCGTATTCGTATTTATTAGCCAGCTGGTTTAATTGCCCGCACCGCAAAATGGTTTAGGCCAACGCCTTGACACGAATCGTCGACAGGCTCCAATGGGGGGCCTTCCATAAATCTGTGCAATAATTGGTTATGAAATCGTTCATTGCAGCCAACTGAAGGCTTAAAGCTCAGCTCGGGCATTAGAAGGGGCTTATTTATCGGGCGAATTTATGGTATTCTGTGGGCCGCTCAATTTACGATCCGGATTAAGTCCAACGCCCTGGGTCACAAGACCGTTTAGCCGGCGAAATCTGCTCCGTTTCAGAAAGCATGGCCCGTTACGATATTAATTACCCGCCATTAGCAGCATCACTCAACTTGGGGCACATGCAGCTGAGTAAAAGTCGAAACTATCTGTAAACCCATACGTCAATGCCGCTAAATCCACTTGTCAGTAGGAACACAAACGTGAGAATCGTTTGAGGGAAAAAAAAACGGAGGGACTTAGACTGAAACTGAAACAAAAACCGAACAAAAGCAAACGGCAAACAGATCGGGCAGCGAGGAAATATTGTCAGGCAACACTTTTTTTTAACCCCGTAGGTGTATATCTATCTATCTATCTATCTCACAGATGTATCTGCATCTGCAGCTTGCACTATAGCTTTTGCTTTCCCTTCCGGAGATTTGTGGCCGGGACACCTGCGACATTTGAGGGCCGCTTGTCGTTGTTCCACTAAAAGACTTTTTTATGCTAAATACCGCCGCAGTTTATATTGATGACGATCCGAGACACAATGTGTTTTACCCCCGATGCACCCATCTATCTATCTATATACAAATGTATATACAAACGTGTGCTAAGTATATCTCACTCTCCTGGAGAAGCAACGAAATGTGTGACAAAACACCACAAGGAATTTTAATCCCAAAATGATTGATAATCATTTGCACGAGCGGAGTTGAAAAGAGAAAAAGCTCTATCACGTTCCATTTGCCTAGGTGTAAAGTCCATGAGGTATTATCAGCACCGCCCAACATCGTCTTCATTATCATCATCGCCTTCGCCATCCTCATCATCTCGACTGGGCTTTGTTTGCTGCTAATGTTTGCACTTAATTCACCAGACAATGGGACTCGGGAGTGGCGGAGGAAAAGCATTTTCTTCTGGCTTTTACCAGGGACAAAATGGGCGAGGGGCTGCCAGGGCGAAAAGTCTAAATTATGTCGTTGCCGCCTGACTGTTGCATAGGAAAATGCATCATTTTGTGAGCTTAAGAAAAGACGATGCGCTTTTTGTGAATGGAAAAACGAAGCACTGGGAAAAACTAGACCATGGGGTTCGTAAAAAGTGCTTTGAGGGGAAAATCTATTAAGTCAGCTATCTGAATTTATATTTAGAAATTTGGGGAAACATTTTAAAAAACTGAGGTATTTCCATTTTGTTACATTTTCAAATTGTTTTCTATAAAAAACTTATAAACTTAATAAGAATTTATCAACAATTTTAATAATATTTTTTATAACTGTCACATTCATTTAGCAAGACTTTTACCATCCCAACAGACTTAAGTTAGACAGTCCATTGTTTATATTCTCCGAAATAGCATCTCTTTTATTTCCATACCAAATCATTTGTTTGCGGCTCACACCTTTTCTATGGACCGGATAATTTCCAACACCTCTAACTATTTAACCTGTGACAAATTTTCCTCCGTTCATTTTGTCTTGACGATGAGTTGAAAATGTGACAAAAGCTGATTTAAGTCATAATTTATCATGATATGCTGGATTAGTGCGATGAATTTAACAAACGTTTATTTTTAACACGTTGCGACATTGACAATGCCAGCAGGTTGAAACGAAGTCTCTGGCTAATGTTTAAATTTATTGACTATCAAATGGTGGATGCATTGTGTTGGTCGTGCCTACTTCATTAGTTTGTGCCACTTTCCCAGTCATAAGCGGCTGAAAGGTGGGATTATGGCACCACCGTGGTGATACTCTATTGGAGATTAAATGTTATAGGTTTCCAGAAATACTTACATATCTATCTGCATTATGCATGAATATCTTTCGCCTGCTTTAAGCCAAAAAAAATGAAAGAAGAGAACAGGACGTCTTGGCCCAAAGCACGCCTCTCTGACAAATCAACCACGCCCAAAAAAGCAACAAAGTTGGCCGTGGCCTAAGTGTTTGTAATTGTTATGGCTGGAAAACTCGTTCTTTCACTTCGGCCTGCAAGCGCGAACTTTATGGCTACACCTACCCATCGAGCCATCCGGAAAGAAACGGCAGATGATCATCTCGAGCCCCCCTCAACACCGCCCTGTATCGGGTTCTAGCGGTAAATAAAGTTTTGGCCAACCAGCCGCGCCCACAAAAACGGCCAACAGGACCACCTAATGAAATGTGGCCAGTATGCCAGAGATAGCATTTTTCTGGGTGCAGTACAAGTTCAATATTAAGAAATTACAAGACAACGACAACCGAGCTGGCCCCACGCATTATGCGGAAATTAATTTGCGCGTTCGGTTCGGCAAATTTAATTCAATTTTTTTAACAGCTCTGGCCAACACGGGATAACACGCCCCGAAACGAAAGTTGACCCACTGGAGGATTGGGCCTCGGATTTTATATATATATACGTACGAATTAAGACATAATAAAGCTGTCCCTTGGTGGAGGCCTCTTTTTTGTTTTTGGCCCATCCGTCAAGATTGCTCCTCTGGCTGTGCAGGGCGTGTAATTCACTCCAAACACCTTCGAGTTCGAAGACCCGCAGACTGACAAGAACCCCGACTTGACTTGACAAGACTTGGCTGGCTTAAACGCTCTTTTTGGGGGGTAATTTTTGGTCGACACAAAATATCTGGGCCGAGTAAGTGGATGATGGTGTGCTGGTGCCTGCTTGACAAACGAGTGTCATTTATCAAAATGTGACACTATTTGCGCCAAGTCATGTGTTAATTGCACTTTATTTTATTGTTATACCCTGTGTGGGTTGTCGGTGTGTCTTGGCCCCAGGAAAGCAAAGGTCCCGGGCTCGAGCTCTTTCTCCGTTTCAGCCGCAGACTTTGGCAATCGGTTCCTCGAGTGCTCTCATAAAATATATATCATAATTGAGGGTTATGTTGTTTTCTTTTCGCTTTTTTCGGGAATAAGCCAACAAGTATAGCCATCGACTTGGCCACCAGGATGAGAAATGGCCCGATTGAGATATGACCGTGTAAGGGAGAAAAAGGGCTGACTGCCACCCGTGGGCCATGTTCTTGCTCCCAGATTCCGAAAACTGATTCGGGATAAGAGTTTTTCTCAAACTCATATATCTGCATATGATTTTCGAAAATATATATCACCTATGTATAGTATCTGCAAAGAGAAAACTTTGCCAAATACTTCAATGTCCCAATGTACAGGTATAAACTTTAATTGAGGAATTTTCGGGGCTTTATACCCGGCATAAAAGAAGTAATTTTTTCCTTTCCAATTTGTGTTTTTTGGGCGCGACCGGCATTTAATGCCAATACTATAAATATTATGATTATGTGGCCCGTACCTGAGCGCAGTTATACATTTTGCGCGTCCGCCGCTCTTAAATGTTATTTTTACCAAAAGAAAAAATGTATGTAGGTATATTAAAACGCAGCGGAGAAAAGGCCAAAAACCAAAGAGCCAAAAGTAATTTCTTGCACGACATTAATTTCTTTTAAATTACGCATAATTGAAGTACGGGCACTCGAAGTTGATCGATGGCCGAATCGAGTTGCGGAGTACTCGAAACGGGTTTATTTCCCCCCATATGTGATTTCTGAGGTGCGGTGCACAGCCGCCTCCTCCTCGTTGATCGGAGAGAAATTACAAAGATACTGCTCTGCCATAATAATATGATTTTTCTTCAGCTCTTTCCATATGAGGCCAAGTTCTTGGGACAAGCTGGGGCATTCGACATTGACATTCGAATTGGACACCTGACAGCAGAATATCAAAGTCAACCGGGGGACTTTGTCGTAATTCGACGATTTCTTCTATTCCCCATTGAAGCCTTGGCTCGATTTGAAATTTGATTTGATTTTGGTTCACCCATTGCTGAGCGCTCTTTGTGTTCGTGGGCTGACCTGTCAGTCAGTATGAAATTTCATATTGTTGTCGACGGGGTCTCAGCGGTATTTAGTTTTATATTTGGGCCTGCTTTGGGGGCTTTGTTAGCGCGATAAGCTGATTTTTTATTACATCAGTTTAGTGTCACATTAGCGCTGTGCCGAAGTGCGCCCATGCATTTAGCTCGATTTGAATCGAATGGTGGGGGCGACAGATTTGTATATCGAAGCCATTGAATGGCGGATATCTACACTTTATGGCCACAACTCATGGCGTTCAACAAGTTCTTCCGTCAGCCCAATCTCAATCTGCATCGGGATCTCTGGGCCCTGCCTGCAGCTCTTTGCCACACGTACGAAAAAGCATCCACATTCAACATCCCCATCCCAGCAAAACCAAGTCCAATCACATAAAATCTTTCAACGAAAAGCACAGGGAACTTATGAATTTCTTAATTTTTGCAAAACTCACTCGCAACGAGGAGTTGCCCTGGTCTTTTTTATGGCATTTCGTTTTGCCGCGATGCTATCAGTTGGTTTTTGTTTCAGGTTTGGTCTTTAAACTGTCTCGAATCCAGTGGTCGGTGGGTCGATTCACCGCATGAATCATAAGCCAGTTAAAAACGAATTCCTAAATGTTCGCTTACTTTGCCGGGTCAACGTATTTGGCACTTGTAACCTAATTTTATTCCCCGAAAGTAATAATAATCAGCGCGAGAAATCGGCGGTAAGCTGTAAATCAATTGGGATAAAGAGAAAACAATAAGCCAAGCCCTTTACTTATTTTTTCTCAAAATATATTTGAGCATATAGCTTAGCATAATATATCAAAATATCAGAAAACTTAAAAATGGTTAGACTAGTGGGCTGTTGCTATTTCTTTGGCCTGCGTACTGGATGCTTTATTAGTGCTGCGTGGCTACTTTTATATTACGGAGCCTTGGCATACTTCATGTATTACCAAATGATTCATACCCAGAGGGCCACAGTAATTCTAGAATCCCGCGAATTTGAAAAGGAAACAATTGGATTTTGGGTGCTGGGCATTGCATTTATCGTGATGGCTTGTACAACTCTTCTTTTGGTATATGCGACCATCATGGTAAATATATTTAAAATATTAATAAGCTTATTTAAAACATACTCTATATACAATGCAGAAGAAATACGTGTTCTTGTTACTGTTTTTAGTGGCACAGTTGGTTCCCATTTCAGTGGAATCATTCTATTTGCTTACAGCTTTAATTTATGGTATTAAATTGGAAAGTTTTGTTATATATCTCGTACCCCTAGGTAAGTAAAGTCTATTTCAGTAATGTTTCTCTTCTAATTAAACTTGTTTTGACAGTACTTTTGTTCTACATCGATCTGGTGGTATATTCCTATTTTTATGAGTTAAGAAGTCTTAAGAAATTGAGATCTGTGTCTGAAATAAATATAGAATACTAAAATTGTTTTGCGCATGAAAATTAGATATACTTTTCGTACGACTTAAGATCACATGCCACTTTTTCCGGTAGAACACACAAAGACAGCGATAAGGTTGGATGGGATGACTTGGGGCCAGGAAAACATGTCAAGAAATAAAAACAAAAATGATTTATCATAATGGGAGTTGGAGTCTGAGTCGGGGCCCAATTCGGAATCGGAATTGGAGTTGGAGTCTGAGCTCCCAGCGGCGTTGCCTAAACGGGCGATAACGGCCAAAACCAAGACCAAGACGAAGACGAGGACGGCATGCGGCTGATGATGGCGACGAACGAGGAGATATCGGGCCCAGAACGGTGCGTCTGGATGTCAACTCTTCATATAAAAATTAACGAAATATAAATTAAAAAATATGCCCTACCTCTTGGCTGGGCGATGAAATAAAAACCAGAAATATTCGTTTCGGCTGCGCTCGTTCTGAGTACGCTTTTGGTTTTCTTCCCTTTCTGGGCTGGCGATTTACGAGTATGTCCCTTCTGGTTTCGAGTTACGCCTGCGCGACATTGTTGCTGGTACACGGAAAGAAAAAATGTATATACAAGAATTTTAACTAAATTTATTGGTAGCCAGATTTTATAAGGATAACAATGTTTGAAGGATAAATTATTTTGAGATGTATAGTACTAACGTAGAGGAGACAAGTTATTCTCTTCACAAAGAAAATTATTCTCTTGACGTTTTTTCCTTACTAAAATAGATAAACACAAATATAATGATTATAAACTTATTATTTAAATATAAAAATATATATATTTTTAAATTAAAAAATGTTTTTATTCTTCCTATAAGATTATATTTTAAATTCAACTTTTAGTTTTTTTTTTCATCAAGGACTGTTACGGCTAACATGGGATTTTTAATAAGAAATCGAGATGAATTTTCCTCAGTGTAGAACCCAAAAACCGACTTCAGGAATTATGAATTGGCCGCTGTCTGTCGCCTTATCGGCGGAATGCATCGCTGCGTTTAAGGCTTTATCTATGGGCCAGTGAGTTTTTATCTAATGGAGGCAGCTTCTACCCATTGATTGGGGTCCCGTTGGGGCTCCGATTTCATTTCTGACTTATGACAGGGTCGTATCGGCTCAACCCAGCGCTCTGATAGCTTCATAAGCCGCGATAAGGCCGAATCCGAGTTCGAATCCAACCGCGCTAATTGCTAGCAAAACTCCAGGCGCCAGCGGAATCAAGGGATTGGCTCTGACAGATCTCAGGTGCCATGTGCAGTATTTCGTATGCGATATCACCTGCGTGTTATCGCCAGACAAATGCATTTTGCAAATTATTAACATATGTGGCTGGTTGTTACACGGCGGGGCCAACACCAACCAACAACCGGCAGCGGCAACAAGCTTGTGCAGATACACAGGTACAGATACATTTGTATCTGACGCCAGTGGGTAGGAAGCCGGCTGGGGATTTGGCTGCTCTGGCTGCGGCTAATTGATGTCGGTGCACAAAACTTGATTTATTTCTATTAATAAAGCCCCCATGCAAACGGTAGTTGGCCGAGCGATCGAGGGAGCGGGTTTTGTTCCGAGGTGTCGATTCGGTCAGATGGCGATACATTTTTGGCTGCCTTATTTGGATGTCCGAAATGCCCAATGGAAAATGGGAAAGCCCATGCAAACAATTATACGAAATTGTTTGCCATCATCTGTTGGCCAGACATACCAATTTCCAATCGGGGGCCAATAAATTGCTTGTTTAGCCGCAATTACACACGTGAACAGCAGCCGAAAAAGCGGCCAGCCAATGCAAAAGCATCAGAAATAATCTGGCGAAACTTGTTACCGCTGTTGTCGATAGAAATCGCATAAAAACTTGGTTGCATAAATTTTAACACCGATTTTAATCGACGCATTGTGGAGCGGCCATAGACAGCCCATTGAGTCCCGCCGATATTCCGGCCAACTCCGACACTTTATGGCCAGCTTTTTGGTGGTAATTACCAGCCGGCAGCAGTTCCGGTGTGTGTGTTCGGGGCTCGGCAATGCAAACTATAATTTCGTTATAAATTATTGATATGTCAAATCAAATTCTCGGCCAGTTTTCAGTTCGCTGGAGTTTGAGCCCAAGATTTATGAGATGCAATTTAAGTTGGTGGGAGAGATTGGGAAATGTTGGTTTGAGAGTTTCTGAAGTTTACAAGTAATCATATTGTTTACTGACTGTTAAAAATTTAAATTACTAAGCAGTCTTATAGTTGTGAAAAAAAATTTTAGTCTACTAATTCTGACCGCTTTGGTATGTGTTGTAAGTATTTAATGTTAACACTCCAAGAAATAATAATATTAATTTATATATTTTTTATTAAAGAGTCTAACCTTCATAATATGATTTTAGTCATTTTTGTAAAACTTTTTAATGAATCAAGTAATTAAAATATATTTTATAACATTCGCTTTGAGAAACCTTGCAAAAAAACAAGGTCTTGCGTTATCAGATACTTTTAAATTTAACCTAAACTCGCCAAACTCTTCCAGCGAACCTCGTGTGTAGACTAAAATATTTTTGGATGAGGAAATACTTGGTCCGGCAAGACAGATTACGACCACGGTGTCTGCGGCCGGCGGACAAATACAACACTTTGCTCTACAAGGCGTTGCGGAAAATACGCAGCGCTTTTCCCTGTTTCACCGTCATGCAATTTTCCGTTGAGTTACCTCATGTTTTGCTTGGGCTTTGGTCTGGCTTCTTGCTTTTATTTCCCCGCTTGACATAACTGGAGCGCTTTTGGCCCAAAAGCATAGCCATTGCCATAGACCCAACCTGATTTGGCAGCCCGTCGACCCCACTTGAGCGCTCTGTCTAACAAAATGCTCGGCCGCTTGTCTCGGCCATTTGCATTTCGATCTCTGCCGGCTAACTGGCCGGGCCAAGAAATCCTATCGTAATAAAAGTTTTCGCCACAAAATTACAAGCTCCGCGAGGCGGGGGAGGACATGTGGTCCGAGATACATGGGCTGTGTACCACACCATGCCATAATATACCATACCCCATGTACCAGAAGGCAATGCCAATCCAGGTCCGAATTCGCAGCGCCGGCAGTTGAACCACATTAGACTTTCACTTTTCAACCGCGCACACACAAATGGCCATTTGGGCATTTTAGCATTTTAGCCGGCCGACTGCGCTTTAAATTTATGTTGATTGGCCGAGTTGGCTTTTTCGGTTAAATGTTGTTAAATTGTTTTCCGCCAAAGTGACATGTTTTGACAAATGGCGCGGTGCATTAACCACCGGAATACTTGTTGACTTGTCATTTAAATTCTTATTGAGATTGTTTGGCACAGCAAGCGACTGACTGCTCTGGTTCTTGGAACACAGCATAATAAATCCGGGGATTAAGTTTTGGGTTTTTTATGCCCTCCCTACGGTCATAAAACATCGAGTCCTTTGACAATGCCGTTGTGGAACGGCCCACAAATAAATACTAATAAACCAGGGAGCAGGACACGAGAGTTTGGTGATTGGCCTGTTAGGCCATCCTTCCCATCGCGTACTACATAAATTTCAATATTTATGGCGAGCCCAGCAACACATGGCCAGGATAAACATCGAACTACCAAACAAAAAAAAAAGAAGGCGAAATAAGGCCAAACGGAATTGCGACTGGGATTTGTGGGCGTTTGACAAGCAGCCAGCCGCTTCTGGGCGTAACCCAAATAGAGGCGTTGACGCCCGGCGACCGTTCACTCTTTTTCCGCCGACTTTCGACTACCGACTTTCGACCCATCCCGAATATACGACCCCGATTCCGGCTAACTAACGGCCGGCCAAAGGAATCGGGATCCAGATCTGGACCAAGGGTCGAGCGGCAGAAAGTAAGCATAGCATTGCGCAAAGCCATGGGAATCATCGTAAATCGCTGCGACATAAATTCAGTGCAGTTTTTGACGTTTTGCCCGACTGCCTGCCTATGGAAGGAACAGGAACCTCGGTTACCTGGCCCACCTGACACAAATTTTCCCTGCTCCCGGTTGCTCTGCGCTAATCTCTGTAAACAAATCACTGACGTCCTGCCATGTCCTTGGGGACGTGTTGGTTTAATTGCTGCCAGACGTCGCAATTTATGAGCATCAATAAAGTGTCAACTTTTGTGCGAGTGTGCTGGCTGCCAAAGCGAAAAACGGGCAGAATAAATGCGCTTCTGGTTGTAAATCATCTCGGCGCGGCTTTCCAGGAAACTAGTCCCTCGCTCTGGGACTCCGGCTCTTCTTCTTTTTTTTCCTCCCGGCTCTGATGCTTAACTTGGCTGAGACACGCTAGCCGGGCCAAGGAAAAACAAAAAACCAAAGAGATCCAGCAGCCAAGAGCTGGTCGAGTTTTGGCATTTGCATTTCAATTGAAGCGAGTAATTAATGTATCGCATATCTGTAGAATTTTAATTGCCAAGTCAATGCACTCGCCCAGAGCCAGATCAGATGCATCTGGGCGCAAATACACTGGCCAACAGCGGAACACGAACTGTGGTTTCGGGCCAATGCCACTGCTTACACGGAGAACAAGGGGGCATCACTATTCATATGGTTGTGAACAATAAAAAAACCATAATTAGAGTTGAGTAGAGTAGAGAGAATCGCACCAATGCCTTATTTTTCAAGATCTTTAAAAGTCTTAATTAATGTATTTCAGCCTCTATCAAAGTAGGATAATGTATCATATGAGAACATTAAAGGTCACTACAAGTTTATATTTATAAAATTAATGCGAAAAAAAGAAAGAAAAACATTTCAAATGGTATACAGTTTATATTTTTAAAATAATCTTAAGAAATTTTTGTGACTTTTTAAAAGGTTTAGAAAATAAAAATGTTTTAGGGGTTATAGGGAAGAGTTTAAATATAAATTTTAAGACAATATCATATCATACGATGTGATTATTTTATTAATAAATATGTTAAGAAATCATGTCATATAGAATCACATCATACCATATCATATCATATCATGCCATATCATATCATGTCGTATCGTATCAGATTATATCATATCACATCACATCATATCATATCATATAATATAAAATCATATCATATCACTTCATATCATATCATTTATCATATTATAGAGTTAAATATAACATAATTTTTTTCTGGTGTACCATGTTTGGTGTAAGAGTCGCGCGTGTGGCCCCGTCACGTACCGCTTTGCTAAGCCTCACAATGCCAGCTGCCGCACAGAAGACTCTCGACAATTAAAATATGAAAGGGTTTCTCCTGCAGAGCCACCGGGCCATTGCCATTCTTGTCCGGTAATCGAACACAACCGCAGAACAGAACCCAGTGG